CAAACTTCAACTCCTAAATTTAACCCAAACAAACATACAGAGCAAGCTAAATATTCAAAATTTCTCTCTAAATACAAAATCACAACAGCTGTCAGAAGTAATAATAATTTGGGTAGAACTCTGTTTAAGCTAAATCCAAACGAGATAAAAAATTGACGTATATATAGAATAGAGTGTGGCGAATGCTCTGCAGTATATACAAACCAAACCGGTAAAATTTTGACGTTAGTCTCCGTGAACACGTTTGTTTGGACAACAAATCTACAATGCATGAACATCTTCAAGAATCAAAACACAAAATGAGTAAATATAACCTCAAAGTCCTACACATATTTAATAAAGGAAAAAATGAATTTGTTGGAAGCCATGGAAATCAACAAATCAATTGAAAACCAGAAATATATATCCCTAAACGAGCAACTTGATTTATGTAGGTCTTCACTCTTTAATTTGTAAGTTTAACAACCCCTATAATATTCAGTGTTGAATTTTAAAGTTGGCACCCTGATTCGTTCAACTACCTGTCCTATCTCACCTAAAAACTCCCAATACTACCGAGTTTTTCAAATTTCAAATTTTAGTTTTATACTTGATAATATGGTCAAACCCGAACCGGTCCTATGAATAAAATTGACTAGTGATAATTAGACAAAAGTGTTTTTATTAATTTCATTAAACTAAATAAAACCGTTCAAAAACTCTTATTTGTCGTACCGCGGTTGATAATCGCACAACAATCTTCGTTTAGTTCCTCCAGGTGGTTCATAAACTACTACAATCTGTAATTCGTCTCGCAAGCAAGTTGATTAGAAGTATACCGGAAAGACTAGGTAGTAATTTATCCCCAGGGAGCCATCCTTTAATACCCGAATGATCGCCGTGTCATGAATGAAACTATATTCACTACGACTTGAACCTAATAATGGGCTACGCCATGCATTATTCTTCGGTTACAATAGCGGAGGCGTGATCCATTTATGTTCCTTTTGGTATTTGTAATGCGTTTTGTTCGACATGTTAAGCTTTGGTACTTTTGATGTATGGTCTACCTTTGATGGATTTTTTTCTGAAACTGACATCCAATACACAAGTGGTCTCATTCGTGAAATTTTGCAAGAGAGAAAGCTATAGTTGAACTAAACTACGGCGGTCATCCGGTTGGAAAAAATGTTGATTTGAAAATCGAATCGACTTTAGAAAGAAATTATCCCCAAAGTAATAAATGATACTTTTATAATACATGAAATTAACTATCAATAACAGGTACGAAACAAATATAAGAGTCCATTTCTTTCGATTTCAAATGATGACTCCTGTAAATTCTACCAAATAATATGGAATGGATATTTTAAGTCAATGGAATCCAAAAAATTAATCAATAAATAATATACAGTGTGTAAAAGCCAAATGGGATAAATTCATTATTTCGGTTACGGTAAATATTCTAACAAATTTCCACTGCACACTCCCCAGAATGGGATACCATATCGCAAATGTGACTCTATCAAGGAGTAGTATACTGACTTTGCGATTGTGTAACCTAGTTCGTTTGCAGCAATTTTCACAGCGTAACAACCAGAGGACAATTTTTCATTCAGGTTTTGACATACCCAAAACATATTTCATGTTGAGGTAAAGATAATAAGAAAGTAAGCAAAAACATCAGCAATGTTATTTTTGGATGGTATCCTTTAAAAAGTTGTAAATGATTTCCGTAGCAACATTAGTTTGAAATGCCTTGTTAACTTGTTGACAATAAGTTGACAAGGTTGACAACAGGAAGATCAAACAGTTTGATATTCCTCTTGAAGATGATTACTTGGTGATCGAAACACGTGTCGAGGTGTTGAAATAACGGTTTGGTGTTGTGAAAAAACTTAGTAATATCCATTACTGCATCAAAGGTTCCAAACAGTGCATCACAAGTGTACCTTATAGGCCTTCATTTGCTGAAACAGGCCTAAGTTACCGACGTGGGAATTTTCAGACATTGACAAAAATATATAGACTTTCCCAAAGACAGCAAAAGTTTTTAATTTTCAACACTCTTTTCGAAGCGACTTTCAACAACTGGCATCATCGAGAGATAAACTACGCGATCTCTGAGACTAGGCTGAAGTCAGTCCTGTTCATCTCCTGATAATGCCAACTTGGTTGGTGAAACTCACGTTAAGAGGAGAGTTGTAGTTTTGATGTGTTGTGGCAGTATTTATTATGGACCATATATAATATTTCAAAAAAATGTTTCTCAATAACTTGTCTGAGAGCGATTTCCGTATTGGACTCTCAGTTGTATGCGAAATGAAAACTCTGGCTCCAATGGAAAGAGTTGATGTATTGCAGTCATGAATTATTTTTGTATGGTTTCTCAAATTAACAGTGAGAAGATCAAATCAAACAATGATAACATATTACAATCAAATGATAACTATCTTCGAAAATATTCAACTTTGTACCTACTTTAAAACTCTAATTCATGTTATTCTGAAAGTTCAGGATTCCGTGAGGTTTTTAAAATCATATACATGTTACCAAATAATACCAGCTAAAAATTCTCTCAGAAACTACAAAGAATGGAATTACATAGAAAGAAGTCAATCTGATATGTCTGGACATGCCAAATAACATTTAGGTATGAGTGCCAGTGCCATTGACTTAAAAAAGTATAATTTGCTCTAGAAATTCAAATGCTTTCTTCATCGGATCAAAAGTAATGAATGTTTTAAACAGACGTTGGGGTTCTTCAAATTGGATTCAAGCTGTTCTGATAATGCAGTTGTCTTATTCATCCTTCGATTTGTTTATGTTTAATCATTTTATGCTCTGTGAGTTCTCATCTCAGTTGGTGGTTTTTATTTCATACTGTTATTCCAATCTTTATTGAAATCTGATTGTGACAAACATAGGCGTACTAGCTTTCGGCACAACAATGGAAATATTCTCAAAGTTTAGTATTTCGACACCTTTGCTTTTCGTAATCGGAAAACAACCACTAATTATTGAATGACACCTCATATTGTATGGGATATTAGTGAGGAGTTCAAATTCAAAATGTTTGCAGTAAAATTCATTTGCAACTTTTCAATATGAATATCTCAGGAATAAGACCATATCATGAATAACCAAAAAGCTTTGCAGAACAGCATATCAGCGAAACTCGATAACCTCTTGCCACCACCAGATCAACGCTTATTCTAAAACTGTGTAACATAAAGTTAATTAGATATTATTACATGATCAAAAATGATTTCAATAACTAAAATATTACTTTGTTACATTTCTATCACCAGTGCGGTAAATGTTCAACTGTTTTGGATGAAAATGTGAATTTTGTCAAGTGAACACACATGTCTTCATATGTTTTCTGAGGTTTCTAATGCTTTTTTGCTATCATAGTGAGAACCCGCAAGTTTGTCAAAGTTCCTCCCAACCATCATTTCCCTTATTTATTTTCGATTACTTCCTTTGTATCAGAAATGAACTAAAAAAACTCAATCCAGTGGATAATATGCGTAAGAAGTACATGGCCTTCACCCCTTCGATTGTGACTATCTCGATAAATGAATTATTGCATCATCTTTAATCATACAGCTATTGCCCCTCCAGAAACGACAACCCTCGGAAGTCATAAAATGTGCCAGCTGAGAATTAACAAGGTCTCACCTTCTAACATGCGATTCCTAGTACGACCAAATAACACATTCCTTTTCCTCAAAAGCGGTAGTATATTATTACTCAACCGGAGTATGATACTGGCCATTGATTGTTTTATTACAAGACTAATGAATATTTCATCATTAGCTTCCTAAAAAACGAACGCCATGATCTTTTCAGCAAATGAAACTGTCCTGGTTTCCTTCAGAGCCAAGTCTTTTCACTATTTGAACTGAAGTGCTGAGTTCGTAATCCATCCATATTTGATCTGTAACAGTGTAACTCACTTGATTCATGAATCTCTAATCGCTGTTTTTACAGTAATAAAATTCATGTTATTTTAATTTTTATTCGACAGAAAAAAAAATGCAATGTCTGCTGTTTGAAACTCGCACAGTAGATTATCATTATCCAGTATTTTTTTCGAGTTGTGTTTGATGTTTACTATGTGGCGCGTTCTGCTCGATTAGGGTTTCTCATGAATATTTTATTGTTCTGAATGATGAAGCATACTTTTCTAGATTTTCTTCGTTATCAATCGAATACAAATACTTCAAATGAAAGTATCGTTCCACTTGAAAAATAGTATGTTTGGTGTTTCAAAAACAAGAGTTCTGCATTTTATACCGACTTGGTATCGCAAGAAAGAGTCTTCTAGAATAAGTTTTTCACCAGTATTAAATTATTGCTATTCAACATCAGAAACTTCTCAATCCTCTTTGGTTGATGTTTCTTCCTAATTTTCTTCATTCTAGTTATTCACATCTTCTCAAAGAGGTCAAAGAAATGTGCTTTTGAGAGCATAACGGTTACATTATTTCCTTTTGAAAGTTTTGACAGTTCAAATTAGATTCTCAATAATATGAATTTCCAGTATTTCATACTACTTGGTTATTTGATAAGCTACTGGAACCGATTTCGAGGTATTCCTGCCAACGGCCCCTTGGCATGTATTTTTATCTGGAAGATTTTGAGATTTGGGTCCAACTCCCTCAATCTGGATCCACCAGTATTTCATGATAATAAGCTCGCCCTAATTGTGCAAGTGCGGTACTAGTATCATATAAATTAGCATGTGGCAAAGAGGAGAGATGCACTAGTTTCGAAAATTTCATGTTAATATATTTGCTGAATGATTAGATTATAAAGAAATGAAAAGAAATGTATCGATTAGAGCTAAGGTATTTACGAAGTATAGCGAAAAACTAACTCAAGAAGTCATTCCACCCTTTGGCCTGGCAACCAGTTTTACTTCTTCCAAAAATATCTTTTCACTCCCTACAAATTGAACCTTGTTGAATAAACTGTTCTTGGTTCCACCTTTTAACAAATAATTTTTTTTTCAGGTTGTCGAGAGACAGCTTTTATATACGCCATCACCTCAGCTGCAGTAACCCACGCGATAGCAAGGGCTTGTAGCGAAGGGTCAATCGACACTTGCAACTGCGAGACGCACTACAAGGGCAGGCCGCAAGTTTTTGCCAACGGAAACACAGCGGCGGCAGTTTCCAACGTTCGGGACTTCGAATGGGGCGGTTGTTCAGACAACATTGGCTTCGGTTTCGATGTGAGCAGGGAGTTCGTGGATACGGGAGAGAGAGGAAAGAACCTCAGGGAGAAGATTAATCTGCATAACAACGAAGCTGGGAGATGGGTGAGTAACAAAATGAGGCATATTCATTGCAAGATTATACTTGTAAGAATGAAGTTAAGGCAAAAAAAATGTCGACTTTTTTCAAAGGTTTCATGGAGGTGGTTGATGAGATTTAAAAGGATCTGATAATAGATTATACGGTATTCAAGGCTATGAAAGTTTCGAAAACTATTTCTTCTCATCCTTCTTGGCACTCATGGACCTCCACTCACTGGAGTGAAAAATACATATAATTAATCAAATGAGGGATATGCGTTTGAATAAAAATTCAGAAAGGAGTGTATGCAACTCATCAGTTGAACTTTCTATATACACCAGAAATAATTGAATGTACAAACATTGTATACATTTGTTGAAAATGTATGTATTCGGAATATTTCCGAACATAACATACACAATACACTGCATGTTGAGAATTCAAATGGGTATGAAATTTTTCCAGTTCATTAGCTCTTCATGAGAGCTAGCCTTGTTTGATCAGAATTGATTGAACATATTACCATGTTCTCATCTCCTTTCAAAAGTATATNTCTCTATTCGTTGGACTCAGTCATGAACATTTTGGAAGTTGTCCCAAGTTATCATGATTGCACCGTCACTAATCAAAATATGTTCTGTTTATTTTTTTTATATTCATGTTTTTATATTATTCCAGTGTTCAGGTTTCCTTATTCTCAATAATATTGCAGTCTGACCGATATACACCTGACCATAAGTATACAAAACACTGTAAAAATCTCATGTATTCGATTACCCTTGAAGCTCACTTTCCATCAAAAATTGATCCATTCAAAGAATGATATAGTGACGATTATCAAAAAAAGGTTTGTGATGAAAACTGCGTTCCTTGGCCCTACCTTGAACAGAAATGCCCTGAATATTTATCTTTCATGGTTGAGAGCTAGACAGAAAAGGGGATCTGAACTATCGATGACTTTGTCGTAGCAACTTTGTTTTCGTCGACAGTTCTGATGACAAGATATATCAGAGTATGTGCTGATACTTACCGCGAAGAGATTACTTCTTGCAAGTCTATGCGGCACTCAAATGATGTAGGATTGTTTCGTCTATGGGCTGCACATACCCTCCGTAATGCCTGCATTGTCTATTTTTGGAATGGTCCATTGTCTATCCCCAATTTTATTATTATTATATCATGAATAACTGAATAGCTTCCAGTAGTTACTCAAATGAGAGCAAGACGGCTGCGCCCCCGTACGAAACTTCTGATCACTATGGACAGGGGGAGTCTGGCCAAATGCCCTCGGCTGAGAAGCACGGCCATATATATTAAAGAAGAAGAAGCTAACCTCTGGGTGTCGGTTTTTCATCTTTCCCTAACACGCTAAAAGACGTATAACGTCAATAATTACTGATAATTTCCCACTTTCATTGATAATACAAGAAATCAGAGATATCAGGTCTCGAAGCAGAGCTACAATTTTTATACGAAATATTCCCTGAATTAATAGAAATGAGACCTATTTAGTTTCCCAGCCACAAGCTCGGGGCTTCGAGCCAATCATAAATTAGTATAATTACTCTGGTATAAACCACTTAAGTAATGAAATACTCGAGCGTGAAAAGATTTACAGAACGGTTACGCTCGCGGAGAAAAATTTATATCCGGATAAGTGAACGTCGTTGAAAAATATGTAAATCGGACTTAATTTCGCATGAAACGTTTAATTCGAACTGTGGACGCTTTCGAACTGATTATTTCTCGTTACATATTACGGCTCAATCGGGAGCGATTGCTTCATTACCTTCTAATTTGTTTGTATGAACAACGATCCTCGAAATAATTGGGATCAGCACGTCATTGATGTCTTCATTTTGCGTGAAATTGCGCATCGGGAGAACTGTGAGGAAATACTTCAATTGAAATGAAAGGCTGGCATTGGAAATAACGAAACGTAATAGAGTATTTCAGACATAACCTAATATAAGTGATAATTATTCATGTTAGTTCATTTTCAATTACATTTCATAAAAATGTATAGATTCAAAAGATTTTGGGAAGTTTCGAATTCAGTATTTTACAAGATGTTTCTTATAGTTATTTTAGACATGATAGTCATAGTCTCTGTCTTAATGTCAAGTACTCCTGTTGGAAACAAATCGCTTTTTTTTTAAATCAGCTGTTGCCCCCTTTCGAACGACAACTCTCAGAAGTCGAAACTTGTGCAAGCTGAGGGTTACAGAGGTCCCACATTTCAACGTGCGATTCCTAGCACTTCGAAAAGTACAATTAAATATTAATTTTTTCATAAATAGTTTGTGTTTGAGAGTAATTCACTTCAATATTGAGAGTCAAAATAGTTATTGGTAGATATTATTGACAGAAAGCGTGGAATTTCTAACGTGTTCAATTCTCATACGCTTTTTATTTGACTCATTCAGTTGAACCATTTTCTCAACATTGATGTGTATTGATTCCTACAAAAACACTTGTTCGATAATCGGTACTTCATGAAGTTACCTCACACATAGCAAAATGAATGAATTTTGCATTATATATGATCAGTTTTCAGTAGCCTTCTTTTCTATTGTAAAAAAACGAACATTTAACTGGTGCCTGTTTCAAAGAGGATGTATCTGAAAAAAATATTGTTAAAATGAGTAGTTTCATGTAGATTGTGTTTAGACTTATTTCGCAACAGTGTTCCAAATCGGAGTCATTCAATGCAGGTGATATTTTTTAAAATAACTTCATACTATACTTTGGGAAATAATCTACATGGAAATGATTTGAAAAAAATTAAATTTTACAGTCAACGTGAATCACAAGACATTTTTGAGTGATTTTTCTTGTAAATCGAAGTATAGATTGATGCTTAAGTCAAATATCAAATGAAATGTTCATTGAAAGAAATCCAATAATATGCGGACTTTAACTACCGGTCACACTGTATCTAGAAAAATCATGTTGAATAGCATAAAATGTTCTTGATGCATGTTACGTTTCACAAAAATATATGTATTTTCACTTCAGCATCCTGTAGATGGAAAGATACGATTTTCAGGACTTCCAATATAGGTATTTGTATAATATGTAAAAGTATCGACCAGTTATTAAAAAAAAACCCTGTACATGTTATCGACCAGAGTAATTTTCATAACAAAATACTTATTTGCCTTCCATGATTCTCGACTTTAATTGGCATTCCTCATATAAGGGAGCAATTACATCTCTTATCTTCAGAAAACGAGTCATTGAAGACGAATCTTAAGTGCATTTCCACAATTCAGTGTGGAATTGGTAAATGTCTCGGGAACAAATCGGCTGGTGCAATCATTTCTCAAAGTGACAGCCTCCGCTTCACGTACCAATATTTATGTTGGCAGTCATGATTGCACGAATTCTGGCCGATATATAGTTTCTTTGAAGTCGATACCACTAATGAGAGAATATATTTTGTTCTATTTATCTTCTTCAATTAATTTTGCCGATAGTGGAGTATTTGTAGGGTGAAATACACCAGACTAACTTTAGCTTTATTGACGCGGATATGACTTGGGAGTCTGATAAAAGGTAACTTATTTTTAAGTGCCTCCGATATAGGCACTTCTCATAATTTGTTATGATATGTTCGTTGGGTACCGAGTGGTTCAAATAAATATTTTTGAAACGGAAAATTACCTACATTGTTCATTTGTAACTACTTGCTCATGCTCTGTGGCGTGTTGATATCCGATTTGACTTTCTATTTTGTTGAAGTATGATATTGAAAGAGTTGCATACAACATGGATGCCTGAAGAACACTGGCATTGGCAACAAAGATATCCGAAAGTGAAACGTCGGTGGCTACATACAAAGGAAGTTTTTCTATGTAGAAGAACGACGAACAAAGACATACGGATAATTCGAAAATGAAAGAGTTTTAGATCTGACGACCCCAAATAATTCATGATGGATTGTTGAGTATAGTTCTAAAGGACTAGCAAATTTTTTATCGTGAATGGCATGAGTAAGGTAACTGCTCATTGATCAATGAATATGCCTCGCGAATTTGCTCATTATTGATATCTGGTGATTCAAACCAGTTGGTATTGTGAACATTGAAATTGCCAAATATGCCTACTTGTAGATGTTTTGGCACTGGCACAATTGGTTTGGAAGACTGCTCTATATTCGGTAATTGTTGAAAGTCGATAGACTTAAGCTATGAAACTACTTTGTGTTTTCTTGAATCATATAACTTTTGGTAATTTTGTGTTTCCTTCTGTTTGCAATTCAGATGGGAATCCCAATTCACGTGAATGGAAATTGTGGCCTGTTTATCAAAGAGATTTATTTTTGCACTGATTTTGGTTTTGGAAGTGGTAGAATGGGAAATATATTTGTTTCGTAGATGTTTGAACTCATTATCGATACTTGAGTTGTCTTTGCAGAAATCGATTCGAAAGTTGCTAGTAGTTGCGTTCACAACTGCAGTTTAATCTGCAGTAAGAATGACATAATTGTAAATACCAGAAAAATGCATCATATTCTGGAAATATTGCAGTTCGCGAGATGGTTCATTTTTCTGGAACTGTATTCTTGCTGCCCTCATGAACACTGATGTTTAATATTTTCTTAGAATATCCAATCTATAAGTAATGAGCAGATGAAAATTAAAGTGAGTAGAAGAATAACACAGAATGAGAATCAATATAAAACATTTCAGAGCATAATAACTTACTTCAAGTTGAGTAGCTTATATTGTTGTTGAAGAGGATTAAAGATGTCGATTTCATTCCCAATTCGTTGACGGATTAAATTGTCAAATTATGTTTCTGCTTTGATCGTTATCCATGATGATCAATGTTTTCTCGAATTCTCCGATCTACACATTCATTAACAACACGTATTTGAGATGCAATTGACAAAAAACTCCAACGTTATGCATTCAAAAGCACCGTTTCTCATAGTATATTATTGAAAAAATTATACGCATACGGTATCAGAGGAAAGGTTCATGATCTTCTCAAGGAGTTACCTAACGGATCTACAACG